GCGGCCCCTCGGGGCACGCCGCCGGCCGCGGCGGCAGCCACAGGGCAGCCGCCGCTCGTGCCAGTCCCCGCTGGTGGTGGTCACGCGGTGCCGCCAGCAGCCCCCGCGCAAGGAGCCGTCCCCGCAGCCCCACCGCCGCCACCGCCGCCAGCCCCGCCTGCGCCCAACCCTGCAGCTCCCGCCCCCGCCGCGGCAGCTGCAGCTGCAGGGGTTGACGATGAACCGCCGCCCTTGGGCGCCGCTTACGCATCCCACCTTAATGAAGTGGGCAGGCGCCAGCTGCAGCTTACCAAGTTCCGCGACCGCTTCGATGGCAAGGCGAGCGACTACACCAAATATGAGTCGGCGGCGAGGGGCTGGGTGCAGACTGCCCTGGTCAATGCAGTACCGGGCTTGCCATGGCCAGACTTCCGTCAACTGGGCAACCTCATGGCCAACCACACGTTCGTCAACTGCTCGGACCCCAGCATCTGGTACGAACAAAGCTTCCTGGATCTGGAGCGCGACCACTACAACGCCTACAGGCAGCGCGGCGGTGTTAAGGAGCAGTACCGCGGGCAGCGGATTGGCGACTTGGGGGACTTCACCGAATACATCCTGCAGGCCCTGAAGCGGCGGTGTGGTGGCAATCGTGGTGATGCGGAGGACTGGTTCAAGGACTTCGCGTGGCCGCCCGACCCCAGCAAGCCGGGCTTCGGCCAGACCCCGGCCAAGGTCTATGCTGAGTACGTGCACGGCTGCAGCAACCTCCCGCAGTTGGAATACCCGCAGGCTCGTCAAGTGCGCAAGCTGCTGGAGGCCAGCCGCAACCTGCGTGGCTATGACTTCATCCGCACCCGGTACGAGGCGCTGAGTGAGCTGCAGCAGCAGGGCTTGACGCTGGAAAGGCTGCGCGACTGGCTGTCTGACATGGAGTCAGCACGCTCCTCCGAGGGGGGCCTGCAGTTCAGAGCGCCTGCTGCCACCACGGCCACCAGTACACGCCGTGCTGCTGCAGCGTTCCACGCCGCTGCTGCGCCCAGCCCGCCCGATACCAGAGCCGCCTCGGACCGCTTCACGCTGCAGATGGCGCAGGACCTCGACGCTGCGCTGGAAACCACTTGCCCTGACGCCGGCATTTGGTTCACCAACCACCTCCGCGGTCCTTGCCCGATCCACGCCTGGTACACGGCCACTCCGCACCTGCTGTGTGACTGCCGCGTCGCCAAGGATTGCTGGAAGTCGAGGGACGCAGCAGGCGCGCTGCGCCGGGGCGATGAAGGCATCCTGCGTGCAGAAGCGGAGCAAGTCCTGCCAACTCAGTTGCGTGCTGATCTGCCATTTGCTAGGCGCCGCCGGCCAGCCTATCAGCCCCCGCCGCCCGATAGGCCGCCTCCACAGCAGCAGCGCGCGCCGCAGCCCTCGCGCCAGTCAGCAGGAGCCAATCTGCAGCACCCCTTGGCCACCAGGGCAGCATCGAACCAGTCACGCTCGCGGGTGGTCCCAGCGCACCACGCCGCTGCCGGCAGCTATGCGGCGCAAGTGCAGGAGCCGCCCCCCTGGCAGGACTTGATCGACGGCCAGCAACTCCTGTACTACCATATCGGCGAGCAGCATCAGCAGATGCAGGCCATGTCCGCCGCCCTCCTGCGTATCCACCCGCATGCCCAGCTGCCCTACCTTCGGCACCTGCGACCGCCGGAGCCGGTGGCGTCCCACCTGCCCCACCCGTCGGCCCAGCACGTGACACCAGTGGCAGCCACGGCACCCGCCATAGCGCCGGCGCCCGCGCACGCCGCCATGCCGCCCGGCGCCATGTACGAGCCTGCTGGACCGCACAGCGTCATGCATGTCGGCATGCACGGCGCGCCGCCGTCAGCCAGCCAGCCGCCTGGCGCCGTGGCCCCGCCTACGGCTGGCTACACGCCGGGCATGTCGGCATACTACGCCACCATCAGCAGCATCCCGCCAGCTGACGCCCCTGCGGTGGCGTACGCAGCGGCCCCAGCGCTGCCGGCCCTGGCGCAGGTGGCCACCAACGGACCCCTTGGGTTCGAGCAGCGTGCGCCCGCAGAAATCCTGCCACACTTGCGCTCCCAGCCGGCCAAGTTCGCAGGTGATCCGCATGCAGTGACCAGCACCTCCGCAGCGTCGCCTACGCTGTCCTCGCTCCTGCAGCAGCTCCTGGCGGGCCTGTCTCAGGCAAGCGGCGCCGCGGGTTCACTGCAGCGGCTTTGTGGCACCGGATCCTCGTCATCCGCTGCCCCCATCCCGGCAGCGGTCGCCGCTGCAGCCGCCGCGGCCGCCAACACCAGCATCCTGCGCTCGGGATCACTGCCATATCTCCAGCAAGCCCGCCGCACCACCGGCCTGCTGGTCAGCAGTGCAGCTCGGCCCATGGGCCAGCTGCTTGGCAGGGTACTGGTGGACTCGGGCAGCGCAGTGCACATCATGGCGCAACGGGTTGCCAGCAGCCTGGATCTGGACGTCATCCCCTTCCCGTCGCTGTCCATCGCCACGGCGGCGGGACGCAGCAGCGTCTTGGGCGTCACGGAGGTCACCTTCAGCTTCGCCAGCGGCACGCCCGACGCCATCACCCACCGCACGTCAGCCCTGGTCGTAGAGGACACTGGTGCAGAGGCGTTTGACCTGATCCTGGGCACCGAGGTCCTGTGGCACAACTTCGGCTGCGACATCTTGCTGGGTGGCCCCACGCCGCTGCTCCGGCTGCGCCGAGGCTACGTGCACCCGCAGCCCTGCGCCCACCTCCCCACCACCTCCCTGCCCATTGCCATGCCTGATCCACCGCCAGCTGCCAACGCCACCGCCCTTGACGTCGGTGGCGCCTCGCTGCTGCAGTCCCAGCCGCTGGAGCAGCCGCTAGCAGCGCTACCAACCACCGCCGGCCTGCCTCGTGCCGCCGGCGGCCAGCCATGACGCAGCCGCCGTCCGCAGCGGAACGGCAGGGTTCCGCTGCCGGGTCGTCGCCGCCGTGCCGCGGCGACACAAGTCCGGGCAGTTGTGCTCCGGATGGGCGTCGGTTGCCTCCGCAGGAAGCGGAATTCGAGCGGCTGCCGCAGGGCATGCTGTTGACAAAGCGTTCAGACCTGTCAGCAGTACAGCGGGAACAGCTGGTGCAGCTGTTGCGGGAGCATGACGACCTCTTCGCCCGCAGCCTGACGGACTTAGGCGAGTACAGGGGTGACGTAGGGCCTTTCCGCATTGACCTGATCCACGACCGGCCTATTTGGCAGCGACCATGGAACCACTCCGCTGCCGAGTACGAAGTTATGGATCAGAAGTGCGGGGAACTAGCCGGGGCCAACATCATCGAAACCAGCCGCAGCTCCAAGTATGCCATGAACTCGGTGATGCCGGTTAAGAAGGATGCTAACGGGCAGTTCACAGAGACGCGTTTCTGCCAGGACGCGCGCCGTACCAACGCTGCCACCATGCCTGACCCGTACAGCCCGCCCCTGCCGGAGGAGCTGTTTCAGCGCATAGGGTCTGCCCGTTGGCTAACCAAAGCAGATTGCCGTGCCGCATTTCTGCAAATCCCCATCCTGCCGGAGCACCGTGAGCGCACCTCCTTCTGGTGGCGCCGGGACCTGATGCAGTACCGGCGGATGGTGTACGGCCTGCGCAATGCCACTGCGCACTTCCAGCGGGTTATGGATTTCCACATACGGCAGCACGGGCTGCAGGACTTCGTCTGCGCCTATGTGGACGACCTGCTGATCTTCTCCAACACCTTTGAGGAGCACTGCGAACACCTGCGCCGTGTTTTCGCCATGCTGCGGGCCATCAACATCCGTCTGCACCCGGAGAAGACGATGGTGGCCAGCGACTGCGTGGAGTTCCTGGGGTTTATGGTCTCGGCTGACGGCATGGGCCCTACCCGCGCCAAGGTAGCCGCCTTCCTGGCGCTCACCTCGCCCACGTCAGCCACCGCTCTCAAGACCATCCTGGGCATGTACGGCTACTACCGCGACCTAGTCCACCATTACGCCGACATCGTCGCCGGCATCACGCCGCTGACCTCCAAGAACGTTGTCTGGCGCAGCGACACTTGGCGTCCTGAGCATCAGGCGGTGCTGGACGAGCTCAAGCGCATCTACTCTGAGGAGGGGCTGGTGCTGCGGCGTGTGCACCCCGACCGGCCCTTGATCCTGCATACGGACTTCTCAGGTGTGGGAATTAGCGGCGTGCTGGGTCAGCTGGACGATCAGTCGCGGGAGTACATGTGCGCCTGCATATCGCGGTCGCTGAACGTGCATGAGCGCAAGTACACCAGCTACAAGGGCGAGCTGCTGGCAGTGGTCTGGGCCGTCAAGCTGCTGCACAGCTACCTCAGCAGCCGGCCGTTCACGGTCGTTACCGATCACGCCCCGCTGCTGTGGCTGATGACGACCTCGGAGGGCCTCACCCCGCAGTACGCTCGCTGGGCGCTGACGCTGCAGGCCTACGACTTTGACGTCGTGCACCGCCCAGGCCACCTCCACCAGAACGCGGATGCCCTCAGCCGCAGCCCGCTCCCGTCTGCCCATGACGGTTCTGGTGCCCGTCTTGACGAGGAGGATGACCCCGTTCGCCCACCGCCGGCGCTCGTGGCTTATCCTGGGGTGGAGTGGCCGTCGTTCGCCTTCCGCCGCCGCCTGCCCACGGCCGCGGCGGTACTGGCGGCCCGTTTCGCGCTGTCCCCGTCCACAGCGTCGCCAGCCAGTGTCATCTCCTACGCCGCCAGCTTGGCGCCCGTGGCGCTGCTGCCAGCGTACACGGTCGTTGCGGCAATCCCCGAGCGCATCCGCTGCTTGTCGCTGCATGCAGTGGAGGCGTCGAGCGCCACCAGCAGCCTGGTCGTGTCAGCTGGAGAGCTTGCAGATCCCGTGCCTGATCCGGTGCCCCCTGCCATGCGCCGCGCGACCATGCAGGTGCGGCTCGAGCGCCCTGCGCTGCGCGCCATTGTGCCGGTCAGCGCCCTGCCGCTGCGCCTGCGGGTGCCCGACCAGGCGGTGGTCGGCATCAACACGGCGCTGGTGCAGCACGGCCTGTTCCCCGTGGCGCTGGGAGGTGACGGTGTGGCGGTTCTGGAGCTGCCGGGCGGCCTCTGCTCGGGCCTGCTGGCGTGCCTGCAACTGGGCCTGCGAGTGCGCCGCTATATTCCCCTTAGCGGCGACCCCACCTCGCAGGCCGCTGCTGCGGCGCTGCAGCCGTATGTGGTGCGGCAGTATGGCGGCTTGCTGGCGGCTGGTGCTTGGGACGAGGGGTTGCGCGCGCCGGCATGCTCGGCGACGGAGCTGGTGCAGTGGGCCGTGTCGGACGCTGGGGCAGAGGCGCTGGGTCTCCTTACCCAAGGTCAGTGGCTGGTCATGGGCAGTTGGGCGGGCGACGTGGGCTGGTCAGCGCAGTTGTACGTGCGCTTGCTGGGTGCGGTGCAGAGCAGCATGCGGGCGGCAGGGGTGCCGCCGCCGGCCTTCCTGTTGGAGGGTCCCCCGTGCACGCTAGAAGCCGCAGAAGCCGCTGGCCTGCCGCTGGGCTACCCTGCCACTGTTGACGCCGTGCAAACTGGCGCTGTCTTGCACCGTCTCAGCAGCATCTACACCAACCTGGCCAACCCAGCTCACCTGGCTTACTGCCTCCGCCGGCTCCCACCGCCGGCGGACGCAACGCTAGCATCTCGCCTCCCTGACGGCTGGTTCCCAGCCCCAGCCACGCAGCCACTGCCTTCGCCGTACGCGCCGCTTGAGGTCCCGGGCGTCCCATGGGTCGCGCTGCCGCCACTAGCGCTGATCGGCACGCCGCCGCTACTGCAAGGGGCCAACCGCGTTCCTGCAGTGCCCGATGCCGCCTTGGTCGCCGCGCTTGCAGGCTTTCCGCCGCTGCCCCAGCATCCCAGTCTGCCAGCCCTGCTGCCGCGTCAGCCCCCGCCGCCGGTCCTCACGGCGGCGCTAGCCAGTTGCCTTGCGCTTCATCGCGCCTTCGTCACACCTCATGACCTGCAACCGCTGCAGCCTCGGCACGTAGCCGAACCGGCGCGTCCGCTGGGGGGGGTGTCAAGTGACGTCGACGCCTTGGAGGCCAGCTTCAGCGTGGACACGCAACTCGGCTCAGGTTTGGCGGCGGCCGCAGCACTGGAGGCAGCTGCGGCTGCGCATGATGCAGCGTGGCTGACGGTACTGGCGTGCGACGTCTTGGTACAGCGGACGCTTGGCTCGGCGGTCGTGGAAGCCACCGCCGTGCTTGCAGCGGCAGCCGAGGTGCAGGAGGAGACAGCAGCAGCGGGCAGCGATCCTGACGTGTGGGGTGATGCGGAGGCCATGGCAGTCATTCGTGCGCCGCTCTCAGGCCGTGTGCCGCCTGGGGAGGCAGCCGGAGCACCTTCCGCCAGGGTGTTGCGTCGCGCGTCGCACTACCGCTGGACTGGCTCGCAGCTGCTGCGCATGATGGCGGATGGCTCCACGCGCGTCTGCCCGCCGCCGGCAGATCGCATGGACCTGACTCAGCGGACTCATGCAGTGGCGCACTTGGGTGTGCGGCGTACGTTGGCGCTGCTGCAGCTGGGTTACTGGTGGCATGGCATGCGCAGCACTGTTCGGCAGGTAGTGGGCTCCTGCAAGCTCTGCGACATGTGCAACAGCTCTGGCTCATCGCGACCAGTGCAGCTGCAGCCACTGGCGATCAAGGGCATGTTCTACCGCTGGGGCATGGACTTGGCTGGGCCGCTGCCGCCTACCAAGCCGCACGGCTTCACCTACGTGATGGTGTGCGTAGAACACTTCACCAAGCATGCGGAGTTTCTGCCGTTGCGGGATAAGACGGCGGACGAGACGGCCAGGGGCTTGTTGGAGGTCATCGCCAGGTTCAGCGCGCCGGCGGAAGTAGTGACGGATCAGGGGGGGGAGTTCGAGGGGGCCTTCAGCCGCCTTCTTGAGCAGTGTTACGTGGACCATCGGCCGACGTCTGCGTATCACCCGCAAGCCAACGGTGCAGCGGAGCGGCTGGTGCAGGTGCTCAAGTCAGCCCTGCGCAAGTACTGTGCTGAGAGCGGCAGTCCTGAAACATGGGATCAGCACTTGCCGTGGTTGGCTCTCGCCTATCGCTGTTCACCGCAGGCCTCCACCAAGCTTGCCCCGTACACCCTCATGTACGGCGTGCCGCCAGTCGTGCCACCGGCGGTACGAGAGCGCTTCCAGGCGGAGCTGGCCTTCACTGGGAATGCCGGTGAGCAGGTCTACGCGCGGGCCTTGGTGGAGAGGGCAGCGCTGCTGCAGCGGCACGCGCCGGCCGCTGCCGGCAACCTGCTCATAGCGCAGCACAGAGACACCAGGCGGTACGCGCTCGTGCGCTCAGGGCTGTGGCGCCCCCCGCAGCTGCAGTTTGCTACGGGCGACTATGTCTATGTCCGGCGGCAAAACCCCAGCAACACGCTGCAGCCGCCGGTGCGCGAGGCCGTCTTGCGAGTGGAATCGGTGGGTCCCTTGGGCGTGGCGGTGCTCATAGGACGTGACGGCACGCGCATCAGGCGCCGGGTGGAGCAGCTTGTGCCCTGCCATCTGCCAGACTTGGACCCTATCGTCGACCCGCGGCTCATGCGCCCGGCAGCGGACCACGCCTGCCAGGTCTGTGCCTCGCCTCGTGACGGCGGCAAGATGCTGCTGTGCGACGCCTGCGGTACCGGTTGGCACCTGTACTGCCTCGTGCCACCACTGTCGCAAGTCCCCGAGGGCAGCTGGGTGTGCCCGGAATGCGTGCAGCTGCAGCGGGAGGCGCCGGCGGGGCCTGCGCCGCCCCAGCCGGAGCCCACTGCTGTGCTGTTTCCGAACGCCGCCACGCGGCGGCGTGACGACGAGGCGGCGGCACTGGATGGACGCCGCATCGTACGCATGGTCAGCAAGGGGCGCGGTCGCGGGCGCGAGGAGCAGCTCGGCGTGCTGCGCTACCGCGGCGGTCTGGTGAGGCCCCACTACTTCTATGCCGAGTGGGACGGGGGCTTTGCTGAGGCGGTCGGGCTGCCTGCGGCGAAGCGCATGCTGATGCCGGAGCAGACGAGTACGAGGAAGAAGGGCAGGTAGCGTTGTTTTGGGCTAGGAAAAGGCGTGCCATGCCGCGCGGCCGAGAAGGGGATATTGCTTAGGTTGTGGAAGTTAGGTTGGCGTTGCCGGCTCGCTGCACCGCGAGTGCGAGGAGTAGGGGTTATCCTAGGGAGCGCAGCCAGACTCGCCGCTGTTGGGGGTAGTAAGGGGGAGCGCCAAGCCGCGTGGCCCGCTATAGAAGGTTGGTGTAGGGATCTTGGTGGCTAGTGGCTAGTGGGTACGTCAAGCCGCGTGCTCTCGGTCTTGCTTCGAGTTCGTCAGTTGCTTAGGGAAGGAACGCCAAGCCGCGTTGCCTGTTATGCCTGTTTTGGGCGTTGTGACTCTTTTCTCAGTTGTGTCAGGTGAGACAAGGGGGTGAGGCCAGGACGCCTGGTTTTTGGTTGGATTTTGGGTGGCAGCGTACTTCGCCGTGCCTGTTGCTGGTGCCTTTTCTGTGGCGGAGGCTTGACTATTGCCGCTTTCGTGGCCTGCCTGCCTGAATTGGGGGTGGGTTTGCTGTGCTTGGTTTGCCGGTTGACCCGTGGGTCGGTGCACCTTAGGCTCTGACCGCCTGAGTGCCGCTCGTGCTGGCTCTATGGCTGGCTTGGTAGCTGGTTTCGTGAACCTGAGGATTGCTGCGTGGATTTCCGTGCGGCGTGGTATGCGCGCGTTTCAGTGGCCAGACGTGCGAGCCTTGGATTTTCCTGTGGAGTTGACTGTCGTACCCGCTGCCGGTAGCAGTGTGACTTGGGGTGTCCTGGGCTGTTGTTCCGCCCTTGCGTCGTCGAGGTCCTCGGTCGGGGGGGGGAAGGTTCCACCCCATGTCATGATTTGGCATGTTTCATCGCTGGAGCATGACAGGGGGCTGTTTTACGGCACTGCTTACATTTAGGATGCTGGAGCCAAGGTCAGTTGCCACGTTCCATGATGTTTATGATGGTCATCGTGTATGGGATACCTGAAAGCGCTGCAAGGTTGCAGCAGCAAAGGCAAGAGAGAAGAGTTTAAAGACAGTGCCAGGTAAGCAAGTGACGAAAGTAGGTGTTGAAGGATGATGATGGTAATAAGAGGTGACAGCGGTTTGTGGGATCAATGGAAGCACGGGGCCAAAAGGATATGACAGCAGGGGGTAAGAAGGAGGAAACGCAGCAGGACCAGCGAGGGGAGAGGGAGTGCAAAGGGGGTTGCACTTACATGGCTGCATGGGGGAGGGGCCTGTATGGACTGTGGACAAGGCAGCAGCAGGGCAAAAAAGGATAACCAGCTGCAGGAGGGGCTGCATGTCATACATCCCTGTATGTGCGGTGGATGCCACTGGCAAGCGGGCTGAAGGGCAGCATGCATGTGTGCAGATGCAGGTACGAAGATGGTGAAGGGGGGGGCTGTTGTTCGGCACTGCCTACCTCGGATATTGAGAGCCCGTTGCCCCTAATGCCTTATTTATGCGAGTTGTGATGGCCGACATTTGCAGGATACTTGGAAGGGTTAGTTCATAGGGTGTGGTGGTAACGAACTGTGGATAAGGAGCATCATGTCAGGAGCGGCAGGAGTGGGTGGTGTTGGAGGGAGGTTGTAAGAGCTAACCGGCGGTGTTTTGGCTTATCGGATACAGGTAAGCACGGGCGAGAAAGTATGGCAGCGGTGGGAGAAGAGGGAGAAAACGAGGGGGGGGGGGGAGTGCATTCAAGCAGGCTGAGGCGACAAGGAAGGAAGTTGGAGGTAGCTGTCAAACTGCAATGCTAACCTTGAAAAGCCATCATCTGTTTCATGTACGTAACCTCAGTAATCCTAGCCTGGTATCATTAAGAGGTACCTTGTGGCTTTCATGTCTTATGTGCCTAGTATGGCCTGCTGGTCGAAGTGATGCTGACCAACCTTCAGGAAACATAAGCTCCAGCGGTGGTAAGGGTGCTGTCACTTATAGTAAAGCCTTAAAAACGCTAGTCTGGTGGGCTAGTTGGCCTCATCTTGTTTGCTTTTTGTAAACAGGGGACATGGAGTGCGCGCTCCAGTAAAAGGATTGGAAGGATAACGTTACATCAGGTGCAGATGGGGCAAGATGGACTGAAGAAAGCAACTCACAATACATATTTACAACTTGTGCCCCTCTGTCCTGCACCTGAATACTCATGTACGGCGTAGCATGAGTTACGCCGTACCTGTTTCACAGGTGAATCGAATCTTTGAAGAAACTTTCTTCAAGTTACCTCATACCTGTATAGCTGCCTCATAATATTCATGGTATGCATTGTACTAGATGTGGCCAGTTTCTCGCCTTTGTTACGTAGTCAACCATGAGCGAGGCGTCCAGTATTTTATATTATAGAAACTTCATTAGGTCAGATAGGCTTTCTTGGCCGACGTTGTTTGTTGCCGACGCTTTCAAGCAATGCTGCTGCCAAGGCCATCGCTGCGTTGGAGGAGTACACGAAAGCAAAAAACTTCGAATGCGTGTAGCTATTATATGCTGTTTGTCTCAAACCGCTTCAGAGGAGGGAAACAGCGCTCCATTTCAAATACTGGAATGAAAACGCTCCGATGGGCGCCAGCCAGAGTGCTCTCTTCAAGCTTGCAATATAGATTTGATGGCCATCAACCAAGCTGTCGACTAGAATGCAGTCGGCGGTACATCCGACCCAGCAAGGGAAGCAAATTGAGCAGCAGCAAACCAGGCGGCGCCAGCCAATGCTCTGACCTAGTAGAACCCCCCACTCGGAGGAAAGTGTGCCAGCATTGCAACCCTTGGTGATGGATGCACGTTGGGCAGGTGTGGCACGGGTCAGGATCGCTCTGTGTATGCTGCATCCATGCGCTTCCTCCCCCGCCCGCCTCCCTCACCCGCCTCCCTCACCCACCTCCTGTCCAGATTCCTCTCCTTACATCTCCTCGCTCCTTTCCACGCCCGCAGACCTGCCTCATGCCGCTGGGCCCCTGGAAGGCACCAAACAGGGCGGCGCCGGCCACCGTTCTGACCTAATAGGATCCCCCACTTGGAGGTAAGCATGCCAGCGTTGCAACACATGGTGGTGGATGCACGTTGGGCGGTGCGGCGACGCTCACCCTTGCATGCCATGAAGGATCGCTCTGTGTATGCTGCTTTAACTTCCTTAACAGCAAGTCTCTTGCTTGGATTCATGCTCCTTCAAGCGCACAGGAACCATGCAGCATGTACGGCGGTGTTCGTTCCTCCTGCCCGTTACCCGTGGCGTTGCATGCATCTGCGCCGCTGTGTTGGCCCCCATACCGGCCGCTTCCTCCATCACCCACCTACACCACTCATGAACTCGCAGCTTCCTCCCCCGCCCGCCTCCTCCACCCGCCTCCCTCACCCACCTCCTGTCCGGATTCCTCTCCTTGCACATCCTCACTCCTTCCACGCCCGCTGACCTGCCGCATGCCGCTGGGCCCCTGGAAGGCACCAAGCAGGGCGGCGCCGGCCACCGTTCTGACCTAATAGGATCCCCCACTTGAAGGTAAGCGTGCCAGCGTTGCAACCCTTGGTAATGGATGCACGTTGGGCGGTGCGGCGACGCTCGCCCTTGCATGCCATGAAGGATTGCTCTGTGTATGCTGCTTTAACTTCCTTAACAGCAAGTCTCTTGCTTGGATTCATGCTCCTTCAAGCGCACAGGAACCACGCAGCATGTACGGCGGTGTTCGTTCCTCCTGCCCGTTACCCGTGGCGTTGCATGCATCGGCGCCGCTGTGTTGGCCCCCATACCGGCCGCTTCCTCCATCACCCACCTCCACCACTCATGAACTCGCACGCAGCTTTCTCCCCCGCCCGCCTCCTCCACCCGCCTCCCTCACCCGCCTCCCCCACCCACCTCCCGTCCGGATTCCTCTCCTTACAGATCCTCGCTCCTTCCACGCCCGCTGACCTGCCGCATGCCGCTGGGCCCCTGGAAGGCACCAAGCAGGGCGGCGCCGGCCACTGTTCCGACCTAATAGGATCCCCCACTTGGAGGTAAGCGTGCCAGCGTTGCAACCCTTGGTAATGGATGCACGTTGGGCGGTGCGGCGACGCTCGCCCTTGCATGCCATGAAGGATCGCTCTGTGCATGCTGCTTTAACTTCCTTAACAGCACGTCTCTTGCTTGGATTCACGCTCCTTCAAGCGCACAGGAACCACTCAGCATGTACGGCGGTGTTCGTTCCTCCTGCCCGTTACCCGTGGCGTTGCATGCATCTGCGCCGCTGTGTTGGCCCCCATACCGGCCGCTTCCTCCATCACCCATCTCCACCACTCATGAACTCGCAGCTTCCTCCCCCGCCCGCCTCCTCCACCCGCCTCCCTCACCCGCCTCCCCCACCCACCTCCCATCCGGATTCCTCTCCTTACAGATCCTCGCTCCTTCCACGCCCGCTGACCTGCCGCATGCCGCTGGGCCCCTGGAAGGCACCAAGCAGGGCGGCGCCGGCCACTGTTCTGACCTAATAGGATCCCCCACTTGGAGGTAAGCGTGCCAGCGTTGCAACCCTTGGTAATGGATGCACGTTGGGCGGTGCGGCGACGCTCGCCCTTGCATGCCATGAAGGATCGCTCTGTGCATGCTGCTTTAACTTCCTTAACAGCACGTCTCTTGCTTGGATTCACGCTCCTTCAAGCGCACAGGAACCACTCAGCATGTACGGCGGTGTTCGTTCCTCCTGCCCGTTACCCGTGGCGTTGCATGCATCTGCGCCGCTGTGTTGGCCCCCATACCGGCCGCTTCCTCCATCACCCACCTCCACCACTCATGAACTCGCACGCAGCTTTCTCCCCCGCCCGCCTCCTCCACCCGCCTCCCTCACCCGCCTCCCCCACCCGCCTCCCTCACCCACCTCCCGTCCGGATTCCTCTCCTTACAGATCCTCGCTCCTTCCACGCCCGCAGACCTGCCTCATGCCGCTGGGCCCCTGGAAGGCACCAAGCAGGGCGGCGCCGGCCACTGTTCTGACCTAATAGGATCCCCCACTTGGAGGTAAGCATGCTAGCGTTGCAACACATGGTGGTGGATGCACGTTGGGCGGTGCGGCGACGCTCGCCCTTGCATGCCATGAAGGATCGCTCTGTGTATGCTGCTTTAACTTCCTTAACAGCACGTCTCTTGCTTGGATTCACGCTCCTTCAAGCGCACAGGTACCATGCAACATGTACGGCGGTGTTCGTTCCTCCTGCCCGTTACCCGTGGCGTTGCATGCATCTGCGCCGCTGTGTTGGCCCCCATACCGGCCGCTTCCTCCATCACCCACCTCCACCACTCATGAACTCGCAGCTTCCTCTCCCGCCCGCCTCCTCCACCCGCCTCCCTCACCCGCCTCCCTCACCCACCTCCTGTCTAGATTCCTCTCCTTACATCTCCTCGCTCCTTTCCACGCCCGCTGACCTGCCGCATGCCGCTGGGCCCCTGGAAGGCACCAAGCAGGGCGGCGCCGGCCACTGTTCTGACCTAATAGGATCCCCCACTTGGAGGTAAGCGTGCCAGCGTTGCAACCCTTGGTAATGGATGCACGTTGGGCGGTGCGGCGACGCTCGCCCTTGCATGCCATGAAGGATCGCTCTGTGTATGCTGCTTTAACTTCCTTAACAGCACGTCTCTTGCTTGGATTCACGCTCCTTCAAGCGCACAGGAACCACTCAGCATGTACGGCGGTGTTCGTTCCTCCTGCCCGTTACCCGTGGCGTTGCATGCATCTGCGCCGCTGTGTTGGCCCCCATACCGGCCGCTTCCTCCATCACCCACCTCCACCACTCATGAACTCGCACGCAGCTTTCTCCCCCGCCCGCCTCCTCCACCCGCCTCCCTCACCCGCCTCCCCCACCCGCCTCCCTCACCCACCTCCCGTCCAGATTCCTCTCCTTACAGATCCTCGCTCCTTCCACGCCCGCTGACCTGCCGCATGCCGCTGGGCCCCTGGAAGGCACCAAGCAGGGCGGCGCCGGCCACTGTTCTGACCTAATAGGATCCCCCACTTGGAGGTAAGCGTGCCAGCGTTGCAACCCTTGGTAATGGATGCACGTTGGGCGGTGCGGCGACGCTCGCCCTTGCATGCCATGAAGGATCGCTCTGTGTTTGCGGCTTTAACTTCCTTAACAGCACGTCTCTTGCTTGGATTCACGCTCCTTCAAGCGCACAGGAACCACTCAGCATGTACGGCGGTGTTCGTTCCTCCTGCCCGTTACCCGTGGCGTTGCATGCATCTGCGCCGCTGTGTTGGCCCCCATACCGGCCGCTTCCTCCATCACCCACCTCCACCACTCATGAACTCGCACGCAGCTTCCTCCCCCGCCCGCCTCCTCCACCCGCCTCCCTCACCCGCCTCCCCCACCCACCTCCTGTCTAGATTCCTCTCCTTACATCTCCTCGCTCCTTTCCACGCCCGCTGACCTGCCGCATGCCGCTGGGCCCCTGGAAGGCACCAAGCAGGGCGGCGCCGGCCACCGTTCTGACCTAATAGGATCCCCCACTTGGAGGTAAGCATGCTAGCGTTGCAACACATGGTGGTGGATGCACGTTGGGCGGTGCGGCGACGCTCGCCCTTGCATGCCATGAAGGATCGCTCTGTGTATGCTGCTTTAACTTCCTTAACAGCACGTCTCTTGCTTGGATTCACGCTCCTTCAAGTGCACAGGAACCACTCAGCATGTACGGCGGTGTTCGTTCCTCCTGCCCGTTACCCGTGGCGTTGCATGCATCTGCGCCGCTGTGTTGGCCCCCATACCGGCCGCTTCCTCCATCACCCACCTCCACCACTCATGAACTCGCAGCTTCCTCTCCCGCCCGCCTCCTCCACCCGCCTCCCTCACCCGCCTCCCTCACCCACCTCCTGTCCGGATTCCTCTCCTTACAGATTCTCACTCCTTCCACGCCCGCTGACCTGCCGCATGCCGCTGGGCCCCTGCTGGAAGGCACCAAGCAGGGCGGCGCCAGCCACTGTTCTGACCTAATAGGATCCCCCACTTGGAGGTAAGCGTGCCAGCGTTGCAACCCTTGGTAATGGATGCACGTTGGGCGGTGCGGCGACGCTCGCCCTTGCATGCCATGAAGGATCGCTCTGTGTATGCTGCTTTAACTTCCTTAACAGCACGTCTCTTGCTTGGATTCACGCTCCTTCAAGCGCACAGGAACCACTCAGCATGTACGGCGGTGTTCGTTCCTCCTGCCCGTTACCCGTGGCGTTGCATGCATCTGCGCCGCTGTGTTGGCCCCCATACCGGCCGCTTCCTCCATCACCCACCTCCACCACTCATGAACTCGCACGCAGCTTCCTCCCCCGCCCGCCTCCTCCACCCGCCTCCCTCACCCGCCTCCCCCACCCACCTCCTGTCTAGATTCCTCTCCTTACATCTCCTCGCTCCTTTCCACGCCCGCTGACCTGCCGCATGCCGCTGGGCCCCTGGAAGGCACCAAGCAGGGCGGCGCCGGCCACTGTTCTGACCTAATAGGATCCCCCACTTGGAGGTAAGCGTGCCAGCGTTGCAACCCTTGGTAATGGATGCACGTTGGGCGGTGCGGCGACGCTCGCCCTTGCATGCCATGAAGGATCGCTCTGTGTATGCTGCTTTAACTTCCTTAACAGCACGTCTCTTGCTTGGATTCACGCTCCTTCAAGCGCACAGGAACCACTCAGCATGTACGGCGGTGTTCGTTCCTCCTGCCCGTTACCCGTGGCGTTGCATGCATCTGCGCCGCTGTGTTGGCCCCCATACCGGCTGCTTCCTCCATCACCCACCTCCACCACTCATGAACTCGCACGCAGCTTTCTCCCCCGCCCGCCTCCTCCACCCGCCTCCTCCACCCGCCTCCCTCACCCGCCTCCCTCACCCACCTCCTGTCTAGATTCCTCTCCTTACATCTCCTCGCTCCTTTCCACGCCCGCTGACCTGCCGCATGCCGCTGGGCCCCTTGAAGGCACCAAGCAGGGCGGCGCCGGCCACTGTTCTGACCTAATAGGATCCCCCACTTGGAGGTAAGCGTGCCAGCGTTGCAACCCTTGGTAATGGATGCACGTTGGGCGGTGCGGCGACGCTCGCCCTTGCATGCCATGAAGGATCGCTCTGTGTATGCTGCTTTAACTTCCTTAACAGCACGTCTCTTGCTTGGATTCACGCTCCTTCAAGCGCACAGGTACCATGCAACATGTACGGCGGTGTTCGTTCCTCCTGCCCGTTACCCGTGGCGTTGCATGCATCTGCGCCGCTGTGTTGGCCCCCATACCGGCCGCTTCCTCCATCACCCACCTCCACCACTCATGAACTCGCAGCTTCCTCTCCCGCCCGCCTCCTCCACCCGCCTCCCTCACCCGCCTCCCTCACCCACCTCCTGTCCGGATTCCTCTCCTTACAGATTCTCGCTCCTTCCACGCCCGCTGACCTGCCGCATGCCGCTGGGCCCCTGCTGGAAGGCACCAAGCAGGGCGGCGCCAGCCACTGTTCTGACCTAATAGGATCCCCCACTTGGAGGTAAGCGTGCCAGCGTTGCAACCCTTGGTAACGGATGCACGTTGGGCGGTGCGGCGACGCTCGCCCTTGCATGCCATGAAGGATCGCTCTGTGTATGCTGCTTTAACTTCCTTAACAGCACGTCTCTTGCTTGGATTCACGCTCCTTCAAGCGCACAGGAACCACTCAGCATGTACGGCGGTGTTCGTTCCTCCTGCCCGTTACCCGTGGCGTTGCATGCATCTGCGCCGCTGTGTTGGCCCCCATACCGGCCGCTTCCTCCATCACCCACCTCCACCACTCATGAACTCGCACGCAGCTTTCTCCCCCGCCCGCCTCCTCCACCCGCCTCCCTCACCCGCCTCCCCCACCCGCCTCCCCCACCCACCTCCTGTCCGGATTCCTCTCCTTACAGATTCTCGCTCCTTCCACGCCCGCTGACCTGCCGCATGCCGCTGGGCCCCTGCTGGAAGGCACCAAGCAGGGCGGCGCCAGCCACTGTTCTGACCTAATAGGATCCCCCACTTGGAGGTAAGCGTGCCAGCGTTGCAACCCTTGGTAATGGATGCACGTTGGGCGGTGCGGCGACGCTCGCCCTTGCATGCCATGAAGGATCGCTCTGTGTATGCTGCTTTAACTTCCTTAACAGCACGTCTCTTGCTTGGATTCACGCTCCTTCAAGCGCACAGGAACCACTCAGCATGTACGGCGGTGTTCGTTCCTCCTGCCCGTTACCCGTGGCGTTGCATGCATCTGCGCCGCTGTGTTGGCCCCCATACCGGCCGCTTCCTCCATCACCCACCTCCACCACTCATGAACTCGCACGCAGCTTCCTCCCCCGCCCGCCTCCTCCACCCGCCTCCCTCACCCGCCTCCCCCACCCGCCTCCCTCACCCACCTCCCGTCCGGATTCCTCTCCTTACAGATCCTCGCTCCTTCCACGCCCGCAGACCTGCCTCATGCCGCTGGGCCCCTGGAAGGCACCAAGCAGGGCGGCGCCGGCCACCGTTCTGACCTAATAGGATCCCCCACTTGGAGGTAAGCATGCTAGCGTTGCAACACATGGTGGTGGATGCACGTTGGGCGGTGCGGCGACGCTCACCCTTGCATGCCATGAAGGATCGCTCTGTGTATGCTGCTTTAACTTCCTTAACAGCACGTCTCTTGCTTGGATTCACGCTCCTTCAAGCGCACAGGTACCATGCAACATGTACGGCGGTGTTCGTTCCTCCTGCCCGTTTCCCGTGGCGTTGCATGCATCTGCGCCGCTGTGTTGGCCCCCATACCGGCCGCTTCCTCCATCACCCACCTCCACCACTCATGAACTCGCAGCTTCCTCTCCCGCCCGCCTCCTCCACCCGCCTCCCTCACCCGCCTCCCTCACCCACCTCCTGTCTAGATTCCTCTCCTTACATCTCCTCGCTCCTTTCCACGCCCGCTGACCTGCCGCATGCCGCTGGGCCCCTTGAAGGCACCAAGCAGGGCGGCGCCGGCCACTGTTCTGACCTAATAGGATCCCCCACTTGGAGGTAAGCGTGCCAGCGTTGCAACCCTTGGTAATGGATGCACGTTGGGCGGTGCGGCGACGCTCGCCCTTGCATGCCATGAAGGATCGCTCTGTGTATGCTGCTTTAACTTCCTTAACAGCACGTCTCTTGCTTGGATTCACGCTCCTTCAAGCGCACAGGAACCACTCAGCATGTACGGCGGTGTTCGTTCCTCCTGCCCGTTACCCGTGGCGTTGCATGCATCTGCGCCGCTGTGTTGGCCCCCATACCGGCTGCTTCCTCCATCACCCACCTCCACCACTCATGAACTCGCACGCAGCTTTCTCCCCCGCCCGCCTCCTCCACCCGCCTCCTCCACCCGCCTCCCTCACCCGCCTCCCTCACCCACCTCCTGTCTAGATTCCTCTCCTTACATCTCCTCGCTCCTTTCCACGCCCGCTGACCTGCCGCATGCCGCTGGGCCCCTTGAAGGCACCAAGCAGGGCGGCGCCGGCCACTGTTCTGACCTAATAGGATCCCCCACTTGGAGGTAAGCGTGCCAGCGTTGCAACCCTTGGTAATGGATGCACGTTGGGCGGTGCGGCGACGCTCGCCCTTGCATGCCATGGAGGATCGCTCTGTGTTTGCGGCTTTAACTTCCTTAACAGCACGTCTCTTGCTTGGATTCACGCTCCTTCAAGCGCACAGGAACCACTCAGCATGTACGGCGGTGTTCGTTCCTCCTGCCCGTTACCCGTGGCGTTGCATGCATCTGCGCCGCTGTGTTGGCCCCCATACCGGCCGCTTCCTCCATCACCCACCTCCACCACTCATGAACTCGCACGCAGCTTCCTCCCCCGCCCGCCTCCTCCACCCGCCTCCCTCACCCGCCTCCCCCACCCACCTCCTGTCTAGATTCCTCTCCTTACATCTCCTCGCTCCTTTCCACGCCCGCTGACCTGCCGCATGCCGCTGGGCCCCTGGAAGGCACCAAGCAGGGCGGCGCCGGCCACCGTTCTGACCTAATAGGATCCCCCACTTGGAGGTAAGCATGCTAGCGTTGCAACACATGGTGGTGGATGCACGTTGGGCGGTGCGGCGACGCTCGCCCTTGCATGCCATGAAGGATCGCTCTGTGTATGCTGCTTTAACTTCCTTAACAGCACGTCTCTTGCTTGGATTCACGCTCCTTCAAGTGCACAGGAACCACTCAGCATGTACGGCGGTGTTCGTTCCTCCTGC